TGTTCGGGCGAATGTTTGTTGTCGCCGTCTCCGCTGCTTGGAAGATCCCTCTTTCTCTATACTAGTGGTACACGTCGACTCTGGACACGTCTCCGTCGGTCCCCAGGCCAGAGTCTACGTGTGCCTCTACAGATCCCATACTTGCGATATCGAGACAACTCGACTTTTCGAACACCTTAGTCAGGCAGCAGATGACGCGCAAGAACAATTTTCCAAAGCAGAATTGGTGTTTTTGGGGGAATTTAATGTTCACCACAATTTGTGGTTAAATTCCTCGAAAACCAACCATGCAGGGCTCTGCTCACGCATGACTTGAAGCAACTGGTCGATCAGCCCACCAGGATTCTAGATATTTCAAGTCAAGCACCTTTATTACTGGACCTATTGCTCACGACCCATCCACAGGGCTGTCAGGTTGTGGTAAGGGGGCTCTGGGCTCTTCAAATCACTGCCCGATATCTACCAAAGCGCCACAGGCCAAGCCTCCGCGTCCAACGGTGGTACAACGCCGGATCTGTCACTATGGGTCGGCAGATTGGGACGGTATGCGTGACAACTTTGCGTCCGTCCCTTGGAAGCAGCGCTGTTTCAGTGACAAGGACCTATTGGCCAGCGCCGTTGCTATTCTGAAGAGATTGTAATGGTTATGCAATACTATATTCCTCATTCCAATCTCAGCAGTAAGGACACACGTAACCTCTGGTTCAATCACCACTGTGCTGAAGCTGTTTCGCGTAAGCAAGCGGTATATCGTGCTTGGATCAGAGGCCGCGCTCTTATGGATACCGGGGTCGATTCAATAAAAACAGCCTACAATTTTGCTTCCAAGACCTGTAAGAAGGATTACAGCGGTTGCTCAGCGCGTTACACATGTTGGTTACGAAGTTATAACGCATCCTTAGGGCTCCCGTAGAAATTAGCGTTTTTCCAAGGCCGTGCAAAAAAACTTCTGCCAGACCTCGCTGCCACCTCTGAGATGCCCTGACGGAACACTAGCTCATAAGCCACGGGAGAAAGCCGATTTACTGGCAAAACTCTTTGCGGCTAACTCCCGAATCTATGATTGCAATGCACTGCCACCATCCTTACCTCATTGTGGCACAACGATGCCTGAAATCAGGCAGCGTGAGGTTCGTGTCGAATTGCAATCACTCGACATCCGGAAAGCTGGTGGACCTGATGGTGCATTCCAGTACCCATCAGTAGTACTAAAAAAATGTGCAGCGGAGTTGTCTTCCGCTCTCACGCGCTTGTACCAATGCTCGTATTCTTTGGGGCGTGTGCCGGAGACTTGGAGAGATGCCAACGTGCAACCGGTGCCCAAAAAAGGGGATCCCTCAGACCCGGCAAACTACCCCAGTCCAGCAGTCACCCCAGTATTATGTAAAGTCCTAGAAAAGGTTCTTAACAACCATCTGACCCGCTACCAAGAGGATCACTCCCTGATTAATGATCGTCAATATGTTTTTAGACCCAAACGATCGACGGGTGATCTTCTAGCTTACTTGACTCATATCTGGGGTGAGGCTATCGACAAGCGGGGCGAGTCGTTGGCTATCAGCCTTGACATTGCCAAGGCGTTCGTCAGCGTCTAGCACAAAAGCATTCTCTCCAAGCTTCCGGTATACGGTCTGCCGGCACAGTTCTGTTCTTGGATAGCTGACTTCCTGCATGAACGTAAAATTCGTGTCCTTACGAATGGTAGCACTTCGCGGTTCTTGTCAGTGAATGCCGGCGTTTCTCAGGGCTCCGTCCTATCCCCTACTATCTTTCTGCTGCATATCAATGACTTAATTCCTTTTGGGAATATTCATTGCGATGCATACGATAGTACAGTGCATGCGGGGTATCCCGGACAAGTAGCGGCTGGGCAGGCGGTAACCACGGAGAAACGGGAGAATCTCGTCATTAAATTCAATCAGGCTTTGGACCATATTTCTGAATGGAGTACCAGGTTTGGTTGAGTTCAATGCTAACAAAACCCAGGTCTGCGCTTTCACGGCAAAAACGTCGCCATTCCTTTCATGTCTTGGAAACCTGAACAAGGTAAGGCGTTTTTTCACGCCCGAGCAATTTAACTGTGCTTCTTGTATAAGGAGCAGGTGCGGTCTTGCGTGGAATATTGCTCGCCACTCCGGGATGACTCCACCACCACGATGCTTTGGATCGGTTACAGCGGCGCGCGATCCGCATTATAGACGATGAAGAGGTGACTAAACACCTAGAGCCTCTACAATTACGCCATGTCGTGGCGTCACTAAGCACGTTGTATCGTCTGTACCACGGCGAGTGTTCTGAGGAGTTATTCTCTCTTATTCCATTTTCCCCTTTCCTTCAGTGGACCTGTCGCGCTGACCTGCGTTGTCACCGACTAACTGTGGCCACAATTCCAATGCGTACAAAAATTTTGTTGACTCATTTCTTTGTGGCATTATCCGTTAATGGAATGCGCTGACCGCTAACGTATTCCCTCCCTCTTACAACCTGTGATTTTTTAAGAGGTGTGAAGAAGCAACACGCAGGCCGGCAGGGTAAGGATGGCTGGTGTGGCAGGTAGAACTGCTGTATCAGCTATCTTCGCGTCTGGACTTCACCGGTACTTATATAACTCGAGATTTTTTTATGTGGATAATCCAAACCCTAGTTATAAAGGTCCACTAAAACGACGAAGCACTTCGGGAAAAGTTACGTGGAGCCCTTGCACTTTGCTTGGCTCGTCTTGTCGTGTTGGTGGGGGGCACGGATGCGTTGATATTGAATTCGAATTTTGAATTTGTATAATTTATAGGGAAGGTGAATACGTGTATACATACAAAGTGATAGTGAAGAGGTAAGGTTAATTGGGATTTCAAAAAAAAAAATGATAAAAATTAGCAAATGGTGCATAGGAATAAGCTTAAGTTAATTTCAGTGACATATTTAACAAGTTTTCTAGATGTGATATTATATATACCATAACAAAGGCTGAACAATAATACTGTATACTTAACAATTTAACCAACAGTTCTCACAAGAATTCTCTGTAGGTAGGTACATTACGACAAAATAACAAATGAATCACATTCTTAATAAAATAGGTGCTAATAATTAACGTTGTTAAAGTTCTCTCGATCATTAATATCGATTAATCGTGTAGGTTCATCATGTACCTACATTATAAAAAATCGAAAACGGAAACAAAACAATAATATTCTAAAAGTTATCAATTAGATAACTATCTTAAATTCACTAAGGTCTATTTGCAGCAAATTAGCTATAATAATAATTTTCTCTTCATTGTTTTACGTTTATTTACTTCTATCAATTTCACTCCGGTAATAAGTTTGCGTCCACGGAGCACGGATCTGTATACAAACACACGCGACCCGTAGGACGCCCAGTTTCGGCTGTCCCATGCACACAAAACGGGCCCCTCAGGTGTCGCTCTCTCTCGCATTTTAAGATACCTACTGGATGCAAGATGATCATCGTAGAGAATTGATAAAAACTTTTTTAAATATATACAGGAAGACGCAATAAAATCTGTAAATTGAACCCGAAATATACATTGCAAAATATACACTGCACGGTAGCGCCCTCCAAATTCCGCACGGTTAATGGTTGAACTATGAAATACGTTAAAAAGCATTCTGGTGATGAAATTGAGTCCACGCCAAATTTTTTCCCATGCATTCTACGCATGAAAAGACGCCTTTGCACAAAAAATGAGGCTAGGTTAATCTTGCGTCCGTATACCGGACGCATCAAGTCGGTCGGACGCTGGATCAATAGCAAAAATCGCCATATAAGACGCAACATGATCAGCAAGATGTATATATATATATATATATATATATATATATATATATATATATATATATATATATATATAATATATATATATATAATATATATATATATATAATGAAGGTACTATAAATGAATTTATTTACCTACTTAAATATGCCCATGTGTCATATCTTTTGACTCCCAGGATATTTTTTTTCGGTGTCATAATAAAAAAGGCTAGTTTTTCATAGATCTATCGATTCATACTAATTACATTGTTGGCGGAGCTGGGTGCGTTTTGCCCATTGTCCTTTATTTCTAATGAACCTTTTTTCACCTAAACCACTGAATGATGAATGGAACGTCCATTAAGGGAAATCACTGGACATCCACTAGATAAAAGATGGCAGCAAGAAAACACTATTTTGTAAAGCTTTGTCTCTTTATTAAATTTTTTTTTTAGACTCTTGTGATACAAAAAATACCACTCGCGCTGTTCCCTATACTGACCCAATCCCCTACTCCGAAAAGTGGAACCCTGGAACCTTATACGACGACAGAAACACAACACCACCATAAGGTTGAGTTATTAATACTGTCTTTTGTAAGGTTGAGATTACTTCACGGAATAGGGGTTGGGGACAAATCAGTGTAACGCACAGTCATTATTATTCATATTAATAGGCACATAGAGGCAACGACCTTTAGCAACTTTCTATCGTGCATACTTGTTTTACGATAAGACATGCTTGGTTTGATTGAAAATGACTTCGTTATTTTAAATTTTATTGTAGAATTAATATAAGTTCAATTGGAAATCTCTTCCTTGAAGCTCCTAGGAAAAGAGAGAGAGACCTAGAGGGGCACTATATGGTTAAAGAACAAGAATAATAGCAAAACATAGTGTTTCTAAACTTTGGTCTTCCTTAAGAAGGAGAATGAGACACGTACCTTTAATTTACTTAATGGAAATTATAAATATTTAAGTTGCTTATTTTACTCTGATTCCTTCATAGTGGATGTAAAAGTGGTGTGGTGCGTTGTGTTACCGGACACCGACTTCATAAAAAATACGTTTAAACAAAAATTTGGTTAGAAATCTATAAAGTTATGAATGACATTGGTAACGATTCTGACACTGATTCTCTAAACTTAAAACTAAATTTAACATCAGTCTCTCCTTTTCATTCTGTATGGAGAAAGACAAGGATACACTGTTGTCAAATTTACGTTTAGGTTTAGAGAATCATGCCAGAATCAACACCATTTTCTTTTTGACGATACGGAGTTTTTGGCGGGATTTCTGCGAGTGCGGTTGGCATCTTATTTTAATTATTCTAAAATTCGTTCATAGTGGATATTGTGAAATTTGGTGTTACAACCGTCTGCGCAACTGAAGAATTAGTGGAATCTTTAAAATATACGCTATTCCGGTCAAGTGGACGCGAGAACTTGTTGTAGTGTTGACTACCTCACAGAAGCTTAGAGAAAAAGCCAACTCCATAAATTTCATGCCAAACACTCCAAGAAACATTAGAATGCGTCACACCGACATTCGAATGTAAAAAAAAGAAGATTAATATAACTAAAGACTAGGCTGTATGGGCATTGTTCCCTTTGCCTTCCCTGAAAAAGGAGAATCTTAAATAATATTGACGTTTCATTATACATAACGTTGAAATTTTAAACGCATACAATTTAGGTAAAGTTGAGATTTCATATACTCAAAAAATGTATACTCATATTTAATATGAATGGAATTCATAAAATATAAAATAACATTTTGTTGCTTGTAAAATTCTGCTCTAATTTATTATTATTTTATATAGACTATGATGTTAACTTAATCGAGAAAAACGGAACGCATTCGGCAGTGAAAGAATATCTACGATAGATATAATATCATTGGAATATCGAAAATCCACGAGAATAGCATTTTTTACCATCAGTAGATATTTTCAATAGATATCCCTACTTTCGATATTATCTCGAAGCCGATATAATATCTACGCCGCGAGAATTGGGGCCCAGCTGTTCATGCCTTAATAAAAGAAGAAGAAGAACATTTGACTTTTGACAGTGTTTTTGGCGGGATTTCATCGAGTGCGGTTGGCGTCTTATTTTATTTATTCTTAAATTTGTTCATAGTGGATATTGTGAAATAAAATTGGTGTGATTTTGTGTTACAACCGTCTGCGCAACTGAAGAATTAGTGGAATCTTTGAAATATACGCTATTCCGGTCAAGTGGACGTGAGAATTTTATTGTAGTATTGACTACCTCACAGAAGCTTATAGAAAAAGCCAACTCGATATATTTTGTGCCAAACACTCCAAGAAGCATTAGAATGCGTCACACCCACATTCTAATGTAGAAAAAAGAAAGATTAATACAAAAATAAGACGATGGCTGCATTGCTTTGCCTTTCTCAATAGAGAAGAATTGAACTAAAAAAAAGGGTTTTTGGCGGGATTACATCGAGTGCGGTTGGCGTCTTATTTTAATTATTCTTAAATTCGTTCATAGTGGATATTGTGAAATAAAATTGGTGTGGGTTTGTGTAACAACTGTCTGCGTAACTGAAGAATTAGTGGAATCATTAAAATATACGCTATTCCGGTCAAGTGGACGTGAGAATTTTATTGTAGTGTTGACTACCTCACAGAAGCTTATCGAAAAAGCCAACTCGATACATTTCGTGCCAAACACTCCAAGAAATATTAGAATGCGTCACACCGACATTCTAATGTAAAAACAAAAAGAAGATTAATTTACTTAAAGACCAGGCTGTATGGGCATTGTTCCCTTTGCCTTCCCTATAACGGGAGAACTTCAACAAAAAAATATAGTGATCTGTGACATTGACAGTAAATCATAGAGTAACTTTGTAGTAAATACTTGTTCTTGGTCTGTGTAGTAAATACATAATTTTGTAGTGCAATGCAACTAATTTACAATCTTATTTAAATGCATATTTGACAGAAATATAGTAATAGATTATAACCAAGTAACGTTTTTAAAACCTGCTCTGAACTATATAAGTATAAATTACAGCCAACGCTTCTCAGACATCTGAAAACAAAAAATGGTTGCCTGTAAAGTCGGTTTTACGGGCGAAGATTTTACGTGACAACGTCTTTTTCTCGGTAGAATATTTATTGATATGAATATAATTAAATTGCACAATAGGAACAAGGAATTGAATGAAAATAAGAATTGCACAAATTTTAACTATAGAAATATATTTTGTTTACTAAAACATTGTACATGTAAACTTAAACTTAACACGAGAGACTCATCGTAACGTTACCGAGCGTTACACTTTTTCATAAGTGACTCCCAGCCGCAACCTAATTTAAGACGTAGTCACGTCAAAAACGGAAATACAACTAATAGTTTCTTTACATCTTGTCGAACCCAAATGTGTTTAGAGCATTTAATGTGACCGGCAACATATCAATGCAATAGTAAAATAATATTATGCTACAATGGAACACATAAGGCAATATGACTGGTAAGTAAAAATACAAGTTTCTGTAAACTACTTTATTATGTTTTAATATTAACATAAATATATTTTCTACTCAAGGTGTGCTACAGAGCCTGATGTTAATTTTCTAAGCGAATCGGATATTGACAACTCTGTGACAGAGAAAATTCTACGTAATAAGTTCTATGACCCTCTGGCATATAGTGAATCAGAAGATGATGAAAAATCTAAAGTCACATTTGATTGGGATGAAATCTTTAAAAATAAAAAAAATGTAAGTATTCAAAAACTACTACTAATATTTTGAGACAAACTTATAATATGTTTTATAAGTCTTCACAGAAAAAATCTTGTGTAGCACACAAGTGTAAATCACACATTACAGCCATATACAGAAACATCAAATTAATTTAATGCTTTATACAGTTATGTATTGTTACACACACCGTTTCACACACTGTGCAAAACGAAAACAGCCACAGAAAAAAAAAGTGTAGAAGTGACAGTTGCAAGTATAATTATTTATTTACAATATTTCAACTAAAGTGCCATTTATTTTATCAGATTTCTATATAACACTTGATGTTCATTATGGCTGATATTTATATAAATTTTGTTTATAATAATAAACAGCTGCTTTGTAGGCTTTCTGAAAAATATATTTCCTTTGCATGGAAAGTGAGCTTAGATTCACCTTAATCCAAATGTTCATTTTTAAAAAAAATACATATTACTATTTTTTAGGACAAGAAATCTGACATGGTCGTACAAGGAATCCATCCTGTGCCACCGTTTACGAAGCTGTCAGCTCTGACAGGGCTTCAACATTATCAGTGCCTTAAAGTACTCTGTTCTCAATGTCCAGATGTACTGCCTAATATGTTCATACCTAGACCTACCAAACATGACTATAAAGTTTTTGAGGTAAGCATTTAATTTATTTCTTATGTTTTCATGCACATCACCCATAAAGTAAAAAACTGTTTCAATGAGTTTACCCTAACAACGAACCAACATACTCTCGAAAACGGAGCCTGTAAACTTTACAGGCTCCATTTTCGAGATGGGTATGTTGGTTACTATGTAAAGGATCCAAAACGAAAAGAGATATGTATTTAAAAACACATTTTAAGTCTGTTTTATTTAGTAAGCATTTTATTTGACATTTTGTACATCATGACATATATCCAATTTTGGCTTTTACACACTACATCTACAACTAAGTATTCCAAATGCACAAATATATCAGATTACTGACATATTATGTATTTATGCCTTTTGTTTCTGGTTGTAAAGCATAATTAAAAGCATCTTTCCCAATTTGTTTTCTATGTTATATTGTTAAAAAATATTTTTCTTTACAATCATTCAAATCAATATTTATTATTGCTAACAAAAAAAAATTAAATTTATGTTTGCTCACTTTATAGCAAGTGCAAGAGGTGTACAAGAAAGAGCAACGGGAATTCATTGAATGGGCAAAATCACTGTGGACTAGTAAACATTGTGCTCGTGCATTAAGACCAAAGCCACCTATAGAGATGGTCTATGAGGCTGAGTTTAAAGTTCGTGCTAACTCACTCCAAAGTTTCCCTAAAAACTATACAATGGCTGCACAAATACCATTACAACCTCCAAATACCCCATGTGATATTGAACATGAAAAGGACATAATAAAAGTGAGTTTATCTTCAGATTATTATAATTACTATTATCCAGTTAACCACCCTTATATAACAAGCACATGACCTGGGTGAAGAAGAGCTCGATATTGCAGGTGGTTAGCGCGTTTGGCTGTGATCGTTAAAGTTAAGCAACTTTTGCAGTCAGGTCATTTGATGGGTAAACAAATCTTCTATCTCGAGTTCCTCCGTGCTTCAGAAGGCAAGCCGTTGGTCCCGGCTGCATCTGCAGTCGTTAGCACCCGTCAATCCACACAGGGCCCACATGGTGGGTCATGCCCAATCTCCCTATTCCAACCATAGGGATGGCCTGCTCCCTGGCAGTGGGGACATTAATAGGCTGATAAGCGACAACCACAGCCTATCATAAAACATGCTGTGCCTATAAAATGTCTTAATTTGGATGTTGTAGGTCAATGTGGCATCATTACCAGAACTACAATATCCTGATATGAATAAAAGGATTACTATAATGAAACCATGCCCAGCCCCAGAGCCTTGCAATAAACATCCCTGCCATTTTATACTGCCAAGTAAGTTACTATTGTTGTGAGGTACTGTTTTTAAAAACGTCATTGTATAAGCTACTTTTAGATGATGTTAATTGATAGGATCCATTTTTTTACGATACAACTCTGCCCAATTTTGTACCTCAAGTATTATTATACATTTATGTGTAGAAACATACCAAATTCATCAAAAATATAAATAGAGTTTATTATCCGCTTATACTGCATAAAAATGTCTTTCGAACATTTAAATAAATGGCAACATAGACAATAGCTACGAATATAACGTGATTTTTGATACAACCAATCACAATCAAGGAAATAAAGTAGCCATCATCTGTCAGTCAATGACAAATTGCGTCTAAGTAATAACGTTTCTCTATACGCAGATTCTCTTATTTTAATTCAAATTAAATTTTTTGTTGAAAATTTTAGATGTTTTTGAGATAATTTGAACCAAGGTACACAATTTATATTTTGAACATGAATTTAATATAAAAATGATACTACAACACAATGAGCACGAAAAACTCCACATTTTGACATAAGACGGAGGCCACACTGGTACGGCGATAGCGTTTTTTCGAACCCGCTCTTCAATCCTCATGTGATTAATGCACGATCCGTTCACGATACACTGTTTCTAGGAATATCCTTGATATTTTTAAGTGTCTACATGTGTGAATTACGTATATAAAATACGTCAACCAAAGATACATCCAGTTCAATTGAAAATTCGCTAGTACCTACGAGTACTAGTAGAGAGTAATCGAATTTTCAATTGCCGCCAACTTGAGCTTGCCACCTGCTTACAGCCCCCGCATGAGCACTACAGTTTACATTATATCACGTTTTTTACTGTCTCGTCTAACTGTCAAACTCCATAGTAATTTGACAATTGAGCGTGATAAAAACGCGTTATATATATCATATCGCGGTGGATATGCTACGGGGGCAGGTGTAAGCCCATTGCCATCATTGCCCCTTCAACCTTACGTCACTATATTAAGGCTCATATTCGTTTGCACCGCAACACTCAGTTTTCGTATTTAAATACTTCCCGTCGTGAGTGTATCGATATGACGACATGATCACGATAAGTTGTCGCTACGTCGATTCTAGGAGTTAGTTCCAAGATATTGTTTATTGCAGCGGAGAGTGCGATGACTATACTGCCCTTAACGGAGGTGCACAGGGAACTAGCTCAGTTCGCTTTAGATAACGGGGCTGATACGATAGCCAGTGAGAACGCGCTGCGATGCCTGATGCAGGATGACCGCGACTGGGCGCTGCCGGTGTCTGTCTGCACGGCCGTCGATACGGGTGAGAAACTTGACTGTGGATGTTATTGTGTTTTTATGTCATCATCAACAGCCTATTAATGTCCCCACTGCTGGGGCACAGGCATTCTCTATGGATGGAATAGGGAGATTGGGCCATCACCCACCACGCGGGCCCAGCGTGGATTGGCGGGTGCTAACGACTGCAGATGTAGCCGGGACCAACGGCTTAACGTGCCTTCCGAAGCACGGAGGAACTTGAGATAGAGGATTTTCGGTCACCCATCCAGTGACCGACCACTGAGAAAGTTGCTTAACTTCAACGATCGCAGCCGAACGCGCTAACCACCCGCGCCATCGAGCTTCTCGTGTTTTTATGTAATCTTTATATATATAATTCTTCTGTGAGTGTGTATATCACTGAACTTCTCTTAAACGACTGGACCGATTTTGATGAAATTTTTTGTGTGTGTTCAAGGGGATCTGAGAATGGTTTAGATTCACAATTTTGTCCGCTGGACAACCCCTATTTTTTTAGGGCGGTACGAAGTTCGCTGGGTCAGCTAGTATTTTATAAAGAGAATATTATAAATGTGAAAGTTTGTATGTTTTTTGAAGTTATACTTCTTAAGGCGCGTTATGAAAAAATTATGATAGTGAAATTTTAAGAAGCGCGCATCACTTTAACACTAAAGTAACACCATGAAGTTGGCCGCTAAACCGCACATTAAGAAAAACTACCAACAAAATTCAAATAGAATCTCTTAGTCGTGCATGTTGGCACGCTTGTCGCCTCTGATCACTGTTTTCATATTTATAATATTTATCCACATGTTTCTAGTATCTATATTCACAACACTTGTTTTAGTTTCATACAATAGGGAAGATGCATATATAATATTTATGAAAATTTTATGATTAAAATGTTAAAAAAATATAAAAGAAATGCCACTGCATCGTTTTTATTTTATATAATGTTGTTTTTTTACAATTATTACGAATTAAAAATACTTGAAACGGAACGTATTTTAAAACACCAATCAGCGTTTAGTGACATCACTCCTGTTATGACAACTTCTTTGAGGTTATGGTTGTTAAAGTAAATATTATTTTATGAGAATATTTATTGCGTTTTTTTACATTTAATAAAAATGGAAGTTGCGTTTATCAAAGCAGACTCCAGGAATTTACCAAGAGTTAGCGTTGACATGGTTATAACTTTTTTTGTCCAAAGTGCAGAGTTTTTAAGTGTAGAAATGAAAGGGACTAAATTACTACGGTATGTAAAAGTCGTAGTTGTTAAACTTCGTATTTTATTCAGCGGCTTCTACAAATCTTACGGCGATAATGTAATCGGCTATGTCCAAATTAAGAGATGGAAGATTATGTACAGTAAAAGGTCGAGTTCTCCGGAGCATAAAGTACGTAAAGAAGGTTATCGTGTTACAGTTATTTTAAATGAAACGCAAAGCTTGGTCAGTCCTGCCAATGTGATGATTGTGCCACACATTTTAAACTTTATCTAATTTTCGACGTCATTCTCCAACTGTAAAATTAAAAATATGTTATAGACAGGCTTTGTAAGTATTAGGTAGGTTACTAATGCGTTTTTACGTACAAGCAGATTAATTATGCATATAACAAGTATATTCGCCGACTTACGTCAAAGTGATCTTCTCAGCATCGAATAATGGTCTTTGGAGAATAATTGTCATTTCTCTTCGCAGCTCGTAACCCCTTTTTTTTCAGTTTTGGGTCAGAAGTTCCAGTCAAAAACAATTTATTTGGGAACTTTGTTGAAGTAGATTGGCACAAAACATGAGTCAACACGGCTTTTTTTCGGAATATTAGTGGTATTGTTATGATCACATGATGTTGATGGATAGTCAATTTTAAATTTTTCAAAAAATATTTCTAAAGTCGAAAAAATATGCAAAAGTATGAAAATTTAAAGCCAGCAACGAACAATTACGACCAGTGACAGACAGGAGTGACGTCATCGCAACCATAGGTTCGTTTTCGCGCGAAAATTTAAATTGTCAATTTAAAACGTGGCATAATGGCGTACCATCGTGCGTGGCAAATTGGAAATGAAAACGCGTTTCGTAAACGTGGCATTACAATAGACATTATTTTTCACTAATTTGTCAGTGTCACTGTCAGGCTGGCCGCTGGGGTTGCGTTCTGTTCCTACACTCCGGGCTCGGCTCTCGCTGTGTGGGCGCGTGGGTAACACTTGCGGCCTTAATATTATTTCATTACGAATTTAATTAAACTATATTTATTTATTTAACTCAGTTTATGTATTCTATTATAACTATATATATTTTAATATTAAACTATAAATAATATATTAAACTATATATATTTTATTTTATACTCTAGCAATCTCGTACAGGCCCTGCCAGAATACCAGCGCTGTTACGGTGGGAATATTCCCGTCCCATTGTAACAGCATTAAGCTGAGGTAGGGTCCTAATTGGCCTTTCTTCTTTTTGTATATTGTTGTTGTCTGTTTGTTTTTATTTTTATCGGTGCTTATATAATTTCTTATTGTTATATACTTGTGTGTTAAGGCCAATAAATGATTTTTCTTTCTTTCTTTCTTCTTTCTTTCTAAAACCGCATTTTTTCCGATAAATCACAATGTTTTAATTTTTTAATGTATCTGTGGTTTATTCTACATGGAATTCTTTAAAATGAAAACAAAATTAAAAATATTGCATCTTCCCTATTGCGAATTATTATATGTGCTCATAAATTATATTCAGCAGTAAACCAATTTTTTTTTATTTTTCAAATTAAAACTGACCTTTATTAACTATATTGACTATCCTTTTCCAGTCCTTTTATTATTTTATTGTTATTAATTATTTGCATGCAATTATAAACTAATTTTAATGATGCCAAAGAAGTATAACTTCTCACGTGCATACATAAGTACACGCACCCATTTTTTCTTTTTATTTCCACACTGAGCAATTCACGCAATCAATTCATTTGCACAGTAATTGGGAACCGCAATGGCTTTATATTTAGCTGTCATCACCCGCTGCAGATGCCACATACATATTTTTTAACAATGTTCTATATTCTACATTTGTCCAGTTAACGCAAAATATTATCATGCACATCACTCTGCAACCCATTCAATAGTAAAGGTAACATATAATTCCAACAGCGCATACCACAATTATTTGTTATTGTATGAGAGCAGTGCATACTTACGGAAATAAGATAGATTACGTAACTTTGTATTCCTTAGTCTTGGTTTTAGGAGACATTTTTTTTTTTATTTCGTCACAGATAATGAACATTTTAAATTTATCGTGGACATCTAATATTTTACAGTACTCAAATAAATAATTATAATCGCCACTATATTTTTTTTTAACTGAATTGGGTACAAATGTTTTATACTTTTATTGCACCATACAAAAATGGCCTAAACGGATTTGGATAAAAATTGGTAGTGGTTTAAGAGAGGTAGGGGAGCGGATTGGAGCGCCCGTCTGGCGCAGTAACCTCCACCTTTTGGAAGATCAGTAAAATAACACTACCTTTTGTTGGTGTTGTGTTTCTGTCAGTGGGTAAGGTTCTAGGGCGCTACGGGGTAGGAGATTGGGTCAGAGTAGGCAACGGTACGAGCGATATTTTTGGTATCACAAGCGTCTATAGACCGTCTATATGGTGACCGCTCACCATAAGACGGGTCATACGATTGTTTGCCACCCTTTTAACATAAAAAACACTTAGTTAAGTAACTGGGTTGACCGATATAATTTTTATTTTTAAGTATGTAACCGCTCAATGCTAAATTAAAAAAAATATTACTAGAGAAAATTTCCACGCGGACCAGGCAGCAGACGGGACTCGAACCTATAATTGCTATTTCTTCTATTATAACTATAATTACTATTTCTTCTTTCAAATGTTTAATACTTGTAAAGGTATTCATTTGACATTGTGGGTTACCTCCAATGCGAAGACATGCCGCTGCCTTACAGCTTAAGAAAGGCTAGAAAGAATTTGACACTGCCATCAGGGCCGCGGTAGCATAACTTTGTTGATTTCGATAAAATTTAGGATATATAATGGCGCGATTACACCTGGTCGTTAGCTCGAATACGAGTGCCAATGGAATTCGGGTAAACGACAGAGTGTAAATGAAGGGAGTCGAGTACTCCCGTATTGGGGTAATTTTCGTTTTGGTTACCCGACACCGCCTTCCAGCCTGTATTCGAGTAATATCTATCTATCTTCTTCTAATTTAAATAAAAAATCTCTTTATTTGTTTCTTAGGTTTTCACGCACATCACTCATTAAATAAAACTAGTTTTTACGGGTTAATGCACGAAACTTTATTTATTTATTGACGTTTCGTAGCCTTTACATGCTACGTCGTCAGAATCAAATTTTATTTAATTTTCTCGAGCTACCTTCGAAAGACTTTTTATTGAGCGTTCGGTTATTTCGAAAGAAAAATCGAACAATGAAGTAACCGAACGCTCAATAAAAAGTCTTTCGAAGGTAGCTCGACAAAATTAAATAAAATTTGATTCTGACGACGTAGCCTGTAAAGGCTACGAAACGTCAATAAATAAATAAAGTTTCGTGCATTCACCCGTAAAAACTAGTTTTATTTAAAAATCTCTTTATTTTCAGATGGAGAGAGTAGAAATGTGGTGGTATTCGGTAGCGAGTTCTCCATTAACAAAGACAGCGCTCAGATGAGGACGTACAAAGCGTTCAGGCGGCTGTTACAATATGCACTTGTTCCGTATGTATTCTTAAATTAACCATATATGTTATTGTATATAATCATATACATATTATTGAACATATCATAGTTCTCATCTCATACAAAAAAAATATATTATTTATATGTTTTGTTTTATCACAAAACCATTTAAAATAATTTTATTTGAGGCCTGTTTTTTTAAAAACGTATAATAATATCATCATTAGTGCAGAAATAAGGTTAAGTCACGGCAAAGTGTAAAATTTTCTCAACAAATAGAGAATGTTATATGAAAGCTAGATAAAGCTCAAAGTTAGAGTAGTCTTACAGCATAGAGCAAAAAAAACATTCCTATTTAATGATTTTGTAGAAAAGTTATCTATTATTTGTTCTTTCAGAATAGTACAATCGCTGCTAATATTCATATTAAATACAGATGCCAACAATTGGTACATTCTTTTTCATATTGTCAAATATCCTTTTGAACAAATAGTAAAGTACTTTATCGTTTATAAACAATAACTTTTTTTCTTCGTCTATCAGATAGATTATTAAAAAGTATTGGACACGTATTTTTTCTTTTTTCACATAATCCATATATTATAGATATACATATATTGATTTGAAATGTCACGCATGACGTCACGTCTAAGTACATTTTTTTACTAAGAAGTACACACACAAAGCACACCACACCCAAATTTTGACGCGCTTTATCTTTGTAATTTTTTAGATGATTGACAAAAGGAAAAATAAGGGCCATTCGTTTTTGGTAATCTAACTGACGAGCTCAATAGATTTTCGTGTACCCCGATTCATTCCCATTGTAGGTCGTCTGAAGTAGGTTCCGTCAGTAAGGTAAAGCAAGATCAAGGATGCCATAAGAAGGGCAAAAAGACTGAAGACGGAGGCAGTAAACAAGATGTCTGTGATAGCGACGAAGATGACGAGCAGCTAGTCATAGACACGGGTAAGTATGGTTAATTTTTTTATTCATTACATTTCAATGTCATTTCAGGTAAAAACCCAATAAGAATATGAGGCTATATAAAATTTAAAAGAAATAATCACACATTAAACTACAAAAAAATCTAATAATAAAATAAATAACACTTGTAAAACAGTCAACAATAGAAACATTAAATTATTTCATTAATAGCCATGTAACAATTATATTCATAATATAAATAATAATAATAAAAATAGTTGAAAAAAATAAAAGTTACTTTTAAAAAAATCTAAATATTAATTTAAAGCACCTATGTGTTTTTATAATAATAAAATTTCTTAAAAAATCAACTTAATTCATTATTACACCAATATAATATCGTATAAGCTCACTCAATGGACAAGTTAAAATACATAATCATTAGAAATCCTATTAAGAGTAATTAAGACTCATGTGACAGGTGCTCTCCATAGTAAATTTGTTCTTGCAAACGGGAGATCGATCTTTATATAATATTCCTTTGCATAATGCTCAAATAAAAAAACATTATAAAAAAATCTATTTTGTTCTATGAAGTAAGCTTTACTGTAAAGTTTACCAACATTCCATACTTAGTAAATTATATTTCAGATAACATGGCCGACGAAAGCATGGAATCTATTGACGACAAAGTTTCAGAGGAACTCAAGAGTCCGAGACGGAGCGAGAGAATAGCCAAGGACACGCACAATTCTTCTAACGAGAGTGCAAACAAAATTGACTTCTATAACTGCACGTGTAAAGGTGAGAATGTAATGCAGTTTATACTTTAGTTAACAGAATACTTATTATGATAAACTTGTTTTAACTTGTTTTTCTTGTTCTTAGAAGTATTTTCTTTTAAAAACCTATTGTATGTTCAGTAGCGGCGTTCGGTCCGATCACAAAAATATACAGTTATAAATTAATTTAAAAAAACATTTATAAGTAGCTACAATTATCAAAGTACGCCACAGTTTTTACACCATACCAATAAGGAATCACGTATCCCACTTTCTTCTAAGTTATCAATGAGTACGTGACAAGTGTATCAAAGGCTTTGGAGTAATCAATAAATACAACGATAACATGTCGTTTGCTATCTATATGTTTATTAATAGAATCCGTAGTCAGAAAGTAGTTGTGTAGTATTTTTGCCGGATTGAAAGCCATACTGTTTTTGTGAAATGATATCATTTTTAATAAAAAACTTATATATTTGGTTACCAATATATTTTTCAACATTGTCAATTGTGGGGAGGCTAGTAATTGGCCTATAATTTTCAGTCTTTAAGACTGCTTTTATTATATATCGGTCGGACTATTCCTGTCTTTAACTGTTCTGGCGATTGGAGTTATTTCATAAGAAGTGTAAGGACGCTTGGATAGCAACCGATTTTCCGCCGGGTTTAGCCACGGTTTTGTACCGTACTTAGACCCGGGTAGAACTCGTCTCGATAACAAGCGCCCTTCCTTACACGACACTAAGCTCATTCTTATTCATTACATCAAATGCACATAATCCAATTATTATAAAAAAACAGATGTTTGTCACTCTTTATTCCACCTGCCGAATGGAATAAATAATACATAAATATTTCCAACAGCTACACCAATTAGCCTAGCCCCAAAGTAAGCACTGTAAGGTTTGTGTTATGGGATACTAGGGTAACGGATAGAATACATATACTGGACATATATAAATATATTTATATAGAAATACACATCAATCATCCATGACTGGAGTACAAATGCTCGTATTCATTACACAAACATCTGCCCCCACCGGGATTTGAACCTCTCTAGTCGGTGACACCATGAAACACGGCGTACAAACCGCCCGGCTACGGAGGTCGTCAATCGAATCTAGCCGAATAAATTTAATTTCGTAATTCTAATATTGCCGTCATGAGTGCAGATAAAGTATAATTTCATTTCATGTATCGAAATATTTTGTCAGATACCCGGTTCGAGCGTCCAGCGCCGCGCTCGTACAGTCGCTGGCGCGTGCGGAACAACGCCACCCGCGAGGACTATCGACTGTTGGTTCACTGTGTCCATCGCGCAAGGGTAAGCCATTCAACATCATCATCATCATGAGCCTATTAAAATCCCCACTGCTTTCCCAACGGCTTAACGTGCCTTCAGAAGCACGGAGGAACTTGAGATAATAAACTTTTGGTCACCCATCCAATGACCGACCACTGCGAAAGTTGCCTAACTTCAATTATCGCAGCCGAACGCGCTAACCACCTGCGCCATCGAGCTCCTCAAGCTCATATGATATGCTATCATTATTTCAGCATGAATCCTCGGAAGTGGTGTTGGAACCGATACCGGAGTACCAGATAGACCTGGGGGCCAGCGAGCAAGGTCCGGACATCGCCAGGAGTCAGGATCTAGCTATGATGCTCAGAAGAAATGCCTCCGTGCTCAATGGTAGGTCCTTCAAAATATGTTATTGAATCTATAAAAGTGTTATATTGTATTTTACCAGGTATTTTGGTTCAGATTTATTATTCGAAGATATTAATGCTGAAAATAAAATATAAGAAACTACCTGGGTTAATATAAGAAACTACAATGCAAAGTGATGGGGCTGCCTTGCAGTCTAATGCTAGAGAAAATTCGACACGGCCGTCAGGGCCGCGGTATCATAATGGTCAGTGCTTTCGCCCGGATAGCGAAGAAGCATGAGGTAATGTGGCGGGTTCGAGTCCCGTCTGCTGCATGGTCCGCGTGAATTTTTTTCTAGTAAACTTTTCTTTAGATTTAAACATCTAGCAGTTAAATGTTTAAAAAATTAAAACATAACTGTAATATTTATTTATTGATCATTAAAGTTTCAACAGCGTTTTACACAATATAATCTAATATATTTTTTTAAACGGTACTTTAGCCAATTACAGATACTCACTTGGTATTCAATTCAAAAATTATAATGATAATGTAGGGTATAAATTAAAAATTAACAATAACAAAAGAAATACCAACAAAGATTCCAATTAAAATTGCGATAAATATAAATACCTATATAAATCAAAATTAAAATATAAAATATTATGACCAAAACTTTTATTGTTACTTTGCTAAAACTTTACCAAAGTAATACTAGATAATAAATGTAAAACTTATTTATGTTGGAGCCAATGTTTGTCGTTCGACTACCCTCCTCGTATTGGGTATCGATACGAGGAGGTACGCCTAAAAAGGTTTATTACTAATTTAGCTATAATAATGGTGTCGATCCTGGCATGATTCTCTAAACCTAAACTTAAATTTGACAACAGTGTCTCCTTGTCATTCTCTATGCAGAATGACAAGTAGAGTGGCTTTAAAGGAGACCTTCGATTTCTGCCCAATTTTGTACCTTGGTACAAATTTTCTCAAAAACATTTAAAATTATACTGAAAAAGACTCATTTACCCAAATCTCAAACAAATTCAGTAAAATGAAAATTTATGAAAATCTGAATTAAAATAGGGAATCTGCTGTAACGTACCCCAGGCACGATCCTACGATTTGGCAACTATAGATACCATTGCACAGTTCTTGTCATCCATATAGTCATAAATTAGAACATACTACCATTTTATTGGTACTGACGACCTCCGTGGCCGAGTGGTTTATACGCCGGGTTTCATGGTGCGGCCGACTCGATAGGTCCCGGGTTCGAATCCCGGTGGGGGCAGGTGTTTGTGTGATGAATGCGAGGACTTGTACTCCAGTCATGGATGTTTAATATGTATTGTCTATATGAATATACTTATAAATATGTATTCTATCCGTTACCTTAGTATCCCATTAACACAAGCCTTACGGTGCTTACTTTGGGGCTAGGCTAATTGATGTGAGTGTTGGAAATATTTATTATTATTACTAGCTGACTTGGCGAACTTCGTACCGCCCAAAAGTAATAATTTGCAATAAATTAAAATTGCGACTATAATTTGAGATTTAAACTATCCTATCTCTCAAGTTGGATCGAACTGCACATGGTGTGCGAAATTTATTATAATCGGTTCAGTGGTTTAGGAGTCCATTGAGGACAAACATTGTGACACGAGATTTATATATATTAAGATTAGTCGAAGTCGTAGATCTCGGGCACCTAATTAATTATTTTTTTCCTTGCTCTACAGTGCGTATCGACATTAGCACAGGCGACATAGTGCGCGTCGATCAGATACGGAAGAACTACGGGGGATCGAAGGAGGACAGTAGGGAATCGACGGAGATTAGCAGGGGATCGACGGGGACTAGCGGGGACATCGCCGGGCGTTTGTGGGCCGCGCTCGACCAAGTGAGGGGCTTGCTGCCTGGACATTACGTGCTGAAGCATGAGGTAATGTGACGAGACCGTAGGAAGGTCAAAGTGGGAGATCTTCCTTCGAGCTGGGTGATGTTAGCTCGGGGGCCGCGGTCCGACTGATGTTGGTCGGGCATCGTTTATATGGAGTGTTAGCCTCCGAATTTTACTTGCTCGATTTAGGCTTCCATGTGTATTGATCGCAACGCCGGTAGCGCTATCTCTTGAGGAGGCGAGTGACTATTTCCTCCATGTTGATTATATGTGGGGCATGTAGATGTCGCCGCCACAAGACCTAATATATTTGTTTCTTAGGTTTTCACGCACACCACTCTTTATATCAAACAAGTTGCAACGGTAAAGATGCACTGATTTATTTTTTTATTGACGTTTCGTAATAAGTCATACGACGCAACCCGAAAAGGATGCGAAACTTCAATAAATAAATAAATCAGTGCATCTATACCGTTAAAATTGGAGACAAAATATTTTATTAATTTTGTCACATAACGGGGCTGATGACGGGCGGTATAGTAAAGAAAATTCTATCTGGGGGCCAATCGCCTAACGGGATTTTGTTATATCTGACCGCCTAAGGTTTTCAAATACCTTGCGCTCATTTCCTTTAATATTGTTATTACCAATGCAAAAGAAAAAGAAAGCGCGCGTCTTTTGCAAAATATACAAATAAATAACCAGATCCATCGATTGTATTATTTGGCTATCGCTAAAGACTCATTTGCACGATGCAATTTTCTTGTATTTACCAGAGCAAGAATTTAATGCAATAATTGTCTTTCTAAAATTGTAAGCAACTGTTTATACAAGGACATTGGTAAAAAATCAAATGCAATAATTGAATTCAAGTCTTGCTATGCAATAATAATTGTAAATTTTTTTTTTTGCCAACACCAATACACCAATGTTAAGGAGATTGTTTCTTTCAAGTTTTAACTTGTCTAAACACGGGCTTGTACGTGCTTGTACCATTAAAATTGGCAGTTGAGTTTAAGTATTGTAATTTTATTTTCAAGTAGGAGCTTGAGGCGCATTTGTTTAGCGCTTTCGGCTGCGATCTTGAAGTTAAGCAACTCTCGCAGTGGTCGGTCATTGGATGGGTGACCAAATTGTACTATCTTTGTGCTTCGGAAGGCACGTTAAGCCGTTGGTCCCCTCTACATCTGCAGTTGTTAGCACCCACCAATCCGACCTGTGATCCAGCAGTGGGGACATTAATATTTTGAATTTAAATGTATTTTCAGGCTGAAATGAAACGAATTGCTTCGCCTTGTTTTGCATTGCTTTGTTTGCTGTTATGCTGTTGTATGATTTTTGCTTTTTAGTTTTTTTTTTATTGTTACTTGAAAGCAGAGGATGCTAGGCCCATACATCCTTTCAAGTAATGAAATAAATTTACATCTTCTTTTGTGTCACTAATCAGGCCCTGCCAGAATAACAGCGCTGGAGGACACAATGTCGCATCAGCTAATGCTGAGGCAAGGTCTTGGTTAGCCCTGAGATTTTTCAATTTGTATCTGTAAACGTGTAAATAAGGGTTAATAAAATGAGACTTTCAGCGCAAAAGTGGCCTAACCCTCAATTATTCATATTCTGATTTATCTTGTACAATTAAATAAAAATGTGTTAAAATTTAATTTAAATTCGTCATTCAATTTATGTGTCAACTAGCTGTTACCCGCGACTTCGTCCGCGTGGAATAGTATCTTTGGGTAGCATTTTTATTATTTAATAAGAATCATCGTACGATCTGGGTGTATAACTAATTTGTAATTTTCCCCTGGCATTCTTTCTAAGGCTGTTTTGAAGGTGTTAATGAGGTTATTAGGTTCGTGCAACATTCTTTAAATTTTTTAAAACAATGTCCCTTTCAACTCCTTCAATATTTTGACATCTGCAGTCAACCTCGCTATTCTCCTCCTCTCTCTCTATTATATCCTCTCCCATAAAATAAATCTGTAGAAATTTTGGTTGATCATTATTTGTGGGAAGCAAAGAGCCAATCCTATGATAAACTTGCCCTTGTACCGTAAATGTAGGTGAAAATCCAGGCATGATGACCACATTACCCACACCAAATGATGTCATTTGAAAGCAAGAATTGTACTTTCTTATTCTGTCCAAAAATCGCCGCGATTCATTGCTGTCATATAAAAGTAAGGATTTGAGTGGCTCGTCGGGGTCACCTGATACTGATGTACTGTACTGTACTGGGTTGGTACTGATACTTTGCCTCCAGAACAGCACATACCTGGGGTCTCTTCCTTCCACTTGTGTGCCTCACAGTGTCTGCATTTATTGGCCATTCTACCTATGAGGACTAATCGATGATTAAAGTAATCAATTAACGGATCATATTCAAAAGCAGCATCGGCAAATGCTTCCCACGTATTTATCGTAAACGTTCGTGTCCTTTCTGCTTGCCGCTCGGAATTAATTAAACGTCGTCTACGTGTTTCTTCGGAGGTCTCTGCGGCTATGTACGAAGCTTGACGTTCAGCATCTAAGATTTGGCGAGCTTGGGTCTGCCGAGAGGTCTCAGCAGCTCTTTGAGCCGCGTGGCGCTCGGCATCCAAGACTTGGCGAGCTTGGGTCTGCTGAGAGGTCTCTGCAGCTCTTTGAGCCGCGTGACGCTCGGCATCCAAGACTTGGCGAGCTTGAGTCTGCTGAGAGGTCTCTGCAGCTCTTTGAGCCGCGTGACGCTCGGCATCCAAGACTTGGCGAGCTTGGGTCTGCTGAGAGGTCTCTGCAGCCCTTTGTGCAGCATGACGATCAGCGTCTAAATTATGACGGGTCTGCGTTTGCTCAAAAGTTTCAGCAGCCCTTTGAGTTGCGTGACGCTCGGCATCTAAAGTCCGACGGATCTGTGAATCCTTTTCCGATTCCAGTGATCTAGTAAGTTTAGCAGCCCGACCTCTGCTAGAGCTATTAGCTAAATTGGACTTTCGTTTGCGAGTCATTGTAGAAAAACAAAAATAAAATGTATCTAACAAAACAGATGTACAGATTGAGATTTATTATCATAAAAAACCTTTAATAAGCAGCTACGTAGGAAAAATGATGCGCTCACCGCACGGCGATGTGTTTAAGTCACGTTTAAATGGAAAAAAAGAAACTAAGAAATTAAATTATCAATACTTATTTACAACCAATGCATAAAAAGAGTAGGAGGTAAGTAGGTTAGGTTAGTTTTACACCTACTACGACTTATTATATTAATTCAAAAAAGGAAATAAAAGCAAATCGGATTTTTTTAAAGTAACGGAAACTATCTTACCTTCTATTAACTATGAACTAAAAGATCCTGAAATATTAAGTATGTACAAAATTAATTTACAGGACCTAACTGATAAAAAATACTTAATTAAAAAATTATACGAAACAATAAAATTATTTTACTGGATCGAAAAATGTAATTCTCTGTAGCGCAAATTTCTCTAATCGCATGCGTCCGGCAACGACGTCTGCGCTCACGTGTCTGCTCGTTCGGGTAGGCATAGTTAGACTCGTGCGCTCCCCCACCACACGACAGCGCCGTTGCCTGCCGCCACACTTCGGCGAATGTGCGCGACGACGACCGACGGTAGCGGCGGCGATGCAGAGTATTCGTTAAAAGGAACTTTAACTTCAAAAGCCAAATTTTTTTTTAACTTGATACACCCAAAGCTCCTAAATATCATGTTCCTAGGTTCAGTGGTTAAGATTTTGTATACAAAAAGTTTGGCTTCGTAGTTCCCAATCCCATGCAACTTTTCACCCCCCCTTATAACACCTTACAACCCACTTTTCGCAATAAAAAGTAGCCTATGTCCTTTCTCAGGGTCTAGACCATCTGTATATCAAATTTCATTCAAATCCGTTCAGTAGTTTTGGCGTGAAAGAGTAACAGACAGACAGAGTTACTTTCGCATTTATAATATTAATTATATAATATTATATAATGCATAATAAGTCCGGATAGATGGCGTTGCAAAAGTTCTTTTTGCATTGTTTTTTTTTCTCTCAGCGTAAACTTTATAAGTGGCCTAAGCCGCTTAATCAGAACATGAATAATTGAGGGTTAGGCCACTTTTGCGTTGACCGCCTCTAATATATTCAGTTCTATTAATAGGCTGATGATGATGATGATGAATGTAATTTTTGGTTATACAGCCGAGTCACGGTAGTAACGCGCTGCTATACAGCAGCAGTCGAGGGCGGGGACAACTGTCGTTAGAGCCGCAGGGCGGGAACGAGGCCGGAGCCGAGCCAGCCCTGCGGGAGCCCGCCCTCGGGCCCGCCCTACTGCCCGTACACAAGTACGTATACCTACGATTAGGACATCCATTAACACATGCTAAGGGGGAGTGGTATGGCGTGTAAATAGCTTACACCACTGGAATGCGGGTTTCTATATTTATATATGCGGGGTCTATATATGCGGCGGGCGAATTATTACTTACGAGCTGGTTGAACACAAACAAACATCAACTATGCAGCAAATGAAAAACAGATAAACCGCAATGCCACCTGGTTGGGCGTTTTATTATGTGTGAGTTTTTTTACATCAACAATGTTCGCATTTGACATTTGGATTTGCAATATGCTCGCTGACGTCACCTAGTGTTCGATCTACGAACCTGTCCAGATGGCAGATATGTGGGTACTGCGAATATAGTTATGCGCGGGTACGCGAACTTAAATACGGTCGTTGGCTCGTCATTTTCCAACGGCCGCTCTCTGTTGTGTCGGATTCCGTGCAGAGAGGTCGTACGCATATTAAAATGAAACGCAGCGCGTAATTATCTCGGAAATCGCGTAGAAGATTTCAACCGCACCCAGAGGAAGAAAGAAAGAGCTGCATCGGCTGTGCCCACGCTTGCAAGCCCGATAAGGAGGCAGAGAGACATCCAGGTGACTCGTTGGTGACATTGCGCCTATTCAATTTCCACTTGTTTCATTGTTGATGTTTCTTTGTGTCTAAGCAGCTCGTACATAATAATTCGCCCACCGCACATACATATATTGTCAAACCCGCATCCAGTGGATGGCTATTTACACGCCATACCATTCTTTGGTTATTCGAGCCGGATTCCTACTAAAGGATCCAGTGTACCCGCTTTTTAATTATTTCCCGCTTAATTTCTTTCCAAGAGAGGTAGGGCATAGCGGATTTTCCGCTCGAATTGGACCGCCCGTCTGGGGAAGATACCTCCACCTTACAGAAAACCGCAGTAAAGCTTCACTACCTTTGGTTGTGCTGTGTTTCTGTCGCTGAGTAAGGTTCCAGGGCTCCACGGGGTAGGGGATAGGGTAGAATAGGCAGCGACCGAGTAATCTCCGGTATCGCAATTGCCTCCAATTATTTAATATATACATTGTTAACCCGCTTACATTCATATCTATATAATTACTCATTTCATATTTTCACTTTACGTATTAATTGGTAAAGTGACGCATCCTACGCATTGCAATTATTGCAAGTCATTTCCGCCATTTTGTTGTACCCGCTAATTTGTCTTAAAATTTTTGTGTAACTGTTTAATTTGAATAACTAGTTTATTTTATTGTAAATCATGTATGTCTACTTCATATGAAATTAAATTAAGTTTATTGAACTCCAAAAAGGAGATTATTTTCGAGCGAATAAATCGATTATATAACATGTCGAAAAATATTTCAAATTTCGATTCTCGCACAAATGAATCGTTCTTAAGAGAAACTGAAAGTATCAATGAATTGCATACGAAATTTGAATCGCTTATCGATGAAATTAATGAGTTATCATTGCAGATTGACTCAGAATTTAAATTTGATTATAAGTGTCTGAGCTCATTTGAGTATTTATATTCAAGTATTTTATATGCCCGTAATAAATTGTTGCCAAATAAACGTTATAACAACGATGATACGAAAACCGCTAATTCTTGTGCTTCTGATTGCAAAAATAGAATCAAACTTCCGCCTATTGAGCTACCCACCTTTGACGGGAAAACTGAGAATTGGCCTATTTTTTATGAAATATTTCGCAATAATGTACATTTAAATACACAGCTGACGGACTCGCAGCGTGTGCAATATTTAATGGGAAAATTAACCCATGGGGCATTAAAGATGACCGCGGGTATTGTACCCACAGGTGATACATATAATATAATTTGGGACAGTTTAGTTAAAAAATACCAAGATAAACGAAACTTAGGTGTCCATTATCTCAGTAATATTTTAGATATTAAAAATTGCACGGCAACTTCTGCCAGTTTAAATTCGTTTATAGAAAAATATTCCTCGTCGCTAGCAGCGCTTAAGCAGTTAGGTATACCCGATTTAACGGATTTTATAATATTGCAATGTGGTTTACGTAAAATAGATTCACAAACATTACAAAATTTCGAAGTCTCCGTTTGTGATAAAGAGATACCTACATGTCGTGAATTTATTTCTTTCATACAAGATCACGTTAAAGTTCTTGAACGCTCACGTAATAATAATTCACAGACAGATTCACGAAATATTACTAGTAGACATCGTAAGAATATTTCGCAGAGTTCATCGTCTTATAATAATAACAACGCCTTTAAATCTTTCGTTTCTAGTAATGAGAAATTACCTTCGCATAATTTTATTGAGAGTGACTGATGTATTTTGTTCACGCCTTCTTAGCGTGATGGAATTTACTTTTTGAAATAAACTCACATTGAATTTTGATGGATTTAATTATTAATAGAATTTTGATGTTGCCACAAGAGGCGTGTGAGATGTAATGAATGAACAGTAAAAATATCAAGCAAGATTTCTGAGTGCGGCGACATTGCTGCTACGAGTCTGGTAGGCGTTACCATACTCCCCCCCGTTGAAGAAGATCTTCATCTTCTTACGCTTCATCATCGTTCAGAAGAGGACAGAGGCGAACCAGGGGCCGTCGATAGGTTCCCATCTTTGTCTTCACGTCCGCGACGCGGGATATTCCTTCAGCTCCTGGGTACAAATTGGTAACTCGTCCAGTGCGCCAACATAGAGGTGGAAGAGGGTCTTCACAGAGCAAGACCAAGTCTCCAATCTTTAATTGAGTTGTATTTTGCTTCCATTTTCTTCGGACTTGCAATTCTGACAAGTACTCCATGTGCCACCTTGTCCAAAAGTGCTGGCGTAGCTTTTCCAGGCGAGCAAAGCGATTCAGTCGACTTTCGTTTTCAGCTTCCAGATCAGGTGATGCAATTGAGTTTAGTGGTCTTCCGATGAGGAAGTGCCCTGGGGAGAGGAAAAGGAGATCGTCGGGAGATGATGATAAGGGACACAAGGGACGACTGTTTAATATAGCTTCCACCTGTGCAAAGAGAGTAGAGATCTCCTCAAAAGTTAAATGGGTCGTGCCCATAACACGTCTTAAAATTCTTTTGGAAATTTTAATTAAAGATTCCCAAGTCCCACCAAAGTGGGGAGCGTAAGAGGGTGTAAATGAAAATTTTATGCCTTCGTGAGCGGCAAACTCAGACAATATTTGGGTCTGTTTATTTTGAAACAGATCAAGCTCTTTAGCCGCACCTACAAAATTGCGACCATTGTCGGTAAATACATTCGATGGTCGGCCTCGACGCGATACAAATCTGCGTAGTGCCAAAAGAAATGCACTTTTCGACAGGTCAGTAACTGCCTCCAAATGAACACATTTGTATCTAAAACAAACGAATAAGCATAGATAGCACTTAGATGTTTTTGCGCCACGGCCCTTACGATTTATTATATAAAACGGTCCTGCCATATCTATGCCCACAGATTTGAAAGGAAAATCAGGGTTGATACGATGTGAAGGCAGGTCACCCATTTTTGGAAATAACATTTTCCCCTGCACCCGTCGACAACGCACACAACCGCGTACAGTGCTTCGAGCGATAAGTCTGCCCTTTATAGGCCAAAAAGTTTGTCGAACAGAAGCAAGAAGCAACTGTGGACCAGCATGTAAATTACGAATGTGCTCAAACTTAAATATCAATTTGCATAAATGATGTGATGAGTTTAGTAAAATTGGGTGCTTTTGCTCATAAGTACAATCTGACCTTTCTATACGACCACCCACGCGAATCAAGCTATTTTCGTCCATAAATGGAGACAAAGATAAAATTTTCGATTTTGCCAGTTAATTTATTTTTAGACTATTTTGTATTGCGTATAAATCGTTTAACATAAGCCATTGTTCTTTGTAATCTAGTAATATTTGAAAAACGTTCAAATTTAATAATTGGTTCTGAAACAATTATTGTGGCAACTATTTTGATTTCAGGTAAGTCGGTTTGGTTTTGTGTTTTTAAAACTGGCCAAGATTCCTCCTCCCTCAGTAACAAATCTGGACCATGCCACCATAAAACTGAACTCTGTAAGGTGCTAGCATGGATGCCTCGCGAAATTAGGTCGGCGGGGTTATCGGCTGTGGGGATGTAGCGCCAAGCAGAAGATACTGTGATATCCTGTATTTCGCTTATTCTATTTGCAACGAAGGTTTTTAGCTTAGATGCGTCACTCTTTAGCCAGCCCAGAACTACACTAGAGTCACACCAGTGAACAATACGGTCAGGTGTAATCCTTAGCGAATCCACTACTGTTTTGCACAATCGAGCAGCAAGGAGTGCTCCAGAGAGCTCCAAACGAGGTATGGTTGTTGGTTTAATTGGCGCTACCTTTGATTTAGAGCACAGCAGTCGTACAGTAGCGCCATCGTTTGAGTTGTTGGACTTAAGGTAAATGCAGGCACCATAACCTACCTGAGAAGCATCACTGAACTTGGCGTGGAATTTGAAAATTTAATAATACAGATAGGCCTTTAGAAAACTCTATCCAATCGTTTTTGAAGTTATCAGGTACAAGTTGATCCCAATCAATCTTTGATTGCCATAATTTTTGTAGCAATAATTTAGCTAACATAATAAAAGGACTAAGAAGACCCAACGGGTCAAAAACTTTGAAGGCATTTGACATAATATACCTTTTGGTTACTATAACGTCATCATGCGTAAGTGGCACATTTATAGGGAAATGTAGAGTATCTGTGTTTGGATTCCACCCCAAACCCAGAGTGCTTGAAGATTCACTTATAGTTAAATTATCTTGTAATGAATTAATAGGAGAGTTTACCAATGGTAAATTAGTTTTGTATTTGCGTAAGTTAAAACATCCCTTTTTTAATTGTGTAGCTACTGAGTTTTTTATGTACTGTAATTGTTCTATATTATTTGAACCCGTTATAAGATCATCAACATAATGATCACGTTGAATTATGGTTTTGATTAAATCATCATCACACTCCTCTCCAAGCTGCCATAAG